CCCAAGAAATCAAAACCTTAATTCATCACCCAAAATCCTGATTATCTAATTCATCCACTAAATTACTAATTTACCCTATAATTAGTAATTAGTTTCTTGAATTAAAATTTCAAGATATTACAATATATGTGGTGATGTGCTAAAATACTAGTACAAGTGCAAGTACATTGTAAAATGAGTTGTGATACGTTAAACTACTTGTGTAAAGTGAATTTGTAATATTTTGGCCTAAGGAGAATGTTTGGTGAAACATTGTGAAATTAGGCTAAAATACTGTTATAAGTATTTGTGGCGATAAATATATGTGAATTGTGGTGATGATTTGGCCAAATAGCAATTATATGAAAATGTGATGACTGTAACCCTCCCCTATATCCCCTTAATATAAGTAGAGGATTAACCTAATCACCATATATTAAGCCAAACCATAAGCAAATATTTTATTTGAAAAGCTTAGGCCTAAGACTTATTTTGTAAAATCATCAAAGTTATAACACATTCAAGCAATACGCAGTAGAAAACAAATCATATACATTCATATAAATTATTGCATGCCTTTGAAATAGGTCATTTTAGTGAAATTTTATTGTCATTTTTCCTCTTTTTAAACTTCTTTTAGGGTACAAACTCCTTATTATAAGTTATGCCAAGGGAAAATGACAATTAGGGACGCATAAGAATATTAATGATAATTACAAATCCTGAATTATTAAAATCTCAATAATAGACTATGATCCTTACTTGCTATAAATTATCTTTTGTTTATTGGTTTAAGATTCATAATAAACTTTTATAAATTTTCAATTAACATTACAAGGATTCCTAATTATTTATTGTTAATTTTCCAAACAATAGTAAAAAATTAAAAGTAATTGACTTACGATTTACAATGGTATAAATTCCTAACTCATATTACAAGTAATCCCAATTATATTTTTGTAGATTTTTCAAACAATTTATTTATATATTGTCAGCAAAAAAATCACAAGTGATTGATTTGCAATTCAAAACTGACTCTCATAATTTCCTAACTAACATTACAAATAATTTCAAGTATATTTTTATTGATTTCCTAAGTAGTTTATTTGTATATTGATAGCAAAAAATTGAGATTTGCAATAAATAGTCATAAATTCTCAACTGACATTACAAATAACATAAGTGTTTTTTTTTTATTTTTCAATTGGCTATCACATTTTTTAATTACAGATTTTAATAATTTGGGATTTGTAGTAGTTATTAATATTTTAATGGGGTCCTTAATTATTATTTTTCTTTTTACCAATGGCCTTATAGCTTAGCATATGGAAGCTCTCTCACAATTATGAGTTCAATCCTACTTGTAAATTCAACTTGCTTACTCCTCTAACTCAACAAAAGAAAAAAAAAAGATTCCTTATAAGTTCCGTCATGAACTGGCTTTGTACCTTGTCTGAGTTTCACGTCCATGTACGTCTTTTGGTTTTTTCTTCAAAAAAAAAAATAGACGACATATCAATAGGATAAGACAAGCCCTTCTAGAGTTGGTCAGTTGGGTAATGTGCCAACCAAGCCATAATGGGCTAAGCGCACATAAGGTTTTGGATATGTTAGGTCTGTTTCATGTGAGATTCATGGCACATGAGGTTTTGGACATGTTAGAAACTGTTTTGGAGTATTTTGTACGTGACTTCATTGAATAAGCATGGCCTGTAATAAAGGGCTTAGGATTAGCCCACAAGCACCCCCAACGTATACGTATATGTATTTTCTCTCAAATTACAAAATTGGTAAATGCAAACATAATATAAAAATTATAACATATAAGATTAATATTGCAATTCTTTCAAGGACAACTAAAAACAGCAATGTTGTCAAACTCATAAATATAAGTAAACTTATGATAAGAATGTAAACTTGAATTGTAAGTTCGGATCATAAAGTCGTAAGGGTTTAGTTTTATTAATAAATAACTATTAAAAGTACAAAATTAAATAATTAAAATATAAGATAATATCATAATTTGATTTAGATATATTTTAAATATAAATCGTTGAAATTAAATTTACTTATATTAATATATTATTATACTCAACATAAAAATGTTAAAATATGACAACTTAATTTTGTTGTTTTCTTTTTTATGAATATTAATTTTTGATTTTTGAGTTTTATTTTTCTTTGAATTGTGTCCTATCACTTTTATGAAGTGAGTTTTATTTAATATATATATATATATCTAATTTGCTCAACTCAATTAGTAAGTTTAACTGATTACATTCAGCCTGAATTTATGAGTAAGTCGACATGATTTTATAAATTGGATAAACTCAAAGAGTTCTTATGAGTTTAACCAAATTTTATCTAATTTAAATTTACGAGTGAGTTAACACAGTTTTATAAGTTAGAAAAATAAAAACGATAAACTTGGAGAGTCAATTCAAGAGTTTGATAACAATAAAAAAACAATCATTAAATTTTTTATTCATAATGTAAAGAATTAAAAGAAAACATAATTATTTGTCATCAAGGAAAAAACAAAAAGAAGGAAGAGAAAATATAATTAGATAAAAAAAACAAATTTGATCATTTGAAAAATGGAGGAATGACAGCTCAAGACTCTATAAATAGAGGTTAAGGTAAGAGTTCAAGCTCATGAATGCTATTTTTCATTTTAAAGGCAAATATTCTTCTAAAATATTGACTCATTTTCATGACTTTATCAACAAAAAATTGCAACGGATAGTTTAATTGATAAAAATTTAACTTATAACTTACAAGGTCGTGAGTTTAAATCTTATTGCCAATGTATGGACCTCACTAGTGAGCGATTTGTAAGCATGTTTATTTTTGAAAAAAATAATCTTTTAGTTTTTAACTTTTAATTCATCTATAACTTAGTCTCTTAAATATGACTTGCAGCGATTAAATCTTTCAACTTTTGACTTGCCTATAATTTAAGTCCTCAACTTCTGACTTGTTTATAACTCAATCCCTCAACTTTATTAGTTCTTTTTTTTCATATTAGCTTAAATCCCACATCAAAGAAGGTATCTTATAGCAAGATATAAGCATTTTTTTAGGGAGAATCAGTCTAAAGTCCCATGGAAGCACTTTAAATACGCTGAAGTCCCATGAATTTAAGAAATAGCTGCCAGGTCCCTAGGGACATAAGGGTGAATAAGTCTGAAAGTGAAATTACCCATTTACCCTCTAGCATTGAAAATAAGATTTTGCTTGCACGCGCACGTCTGAGGAAACCCATGATCAGCAATAGTGAAGGTTGCTGCATATCCATAGTTGTTGATCACGGTAGGATCATCTTCACTTCCTCACGTCCATGATTACAGCCGTTGTCTTCATCTAAGTGAGTTGGGAGTGTTTCTTCTGTAACAGCAACATTTCATCGGCAGAAAATAAATTTTCTAAGTAAATGATTATTGGCTGTAAACGATTACGTAAATTACCGATCAACAGTAGCATATCCATTGTTAGCTGGGTAAACGATTTCTTGTGCGTTAATGATTTCATTATTGTCTAAGGGTAGGATAATGCTTTCTGGGTAAACCTGCGATCATTCGATTTGCATAGCTAATATATGGAATAATCTGGCGCAACATTGTTCCATTGACAAATATCTGATATGAATATCTCTCAACATGTTGTCAATAGTGTTTTGTTGTGTTGTTAATATGATATGAATAGTTGTCAATACACTGTACTGTGCAGGCTAACCAGTAAGAATGCAAGTACTACTGGCAAACATGTATTATGTTATTTTTTTCATGTAGGACAATTTATATATTATTTCTAAGCATCTGAGGTAAGCTTGTTTTATTGAAAAATCTCTGCTATTAATGAACACTATGTCTTGTCGATAGTGGATAAATATGTTATTAATACACATTGTCTAGTTGTCAATATATTGTGTGTGATGCAGGTTGACTTGTAAGATGGTAAGTTCTTCAGGAGAACATATATTATGTTTCTTCCATATAGGGGGCATTTTCAAAATGATGACCAAGGAAGTATGCAATATGTTGGGGGGAGTGTTAGAACTAGAACAATAAAGGAAGGGACAACATATGAAGAGTTGACAAGAATGATATCATCAATTATAGGGAATGAAAGTAATATAATCAAGTTAAAATTCACAGTCAATGTTGATGCAAGCACACTTGTAAATCTAGTTGATGATGATGGAGTAGAACATCTGATCAAATATAATAAACAAAGTGGACATGTCTCTGTAGTTGCAAATGGGAATGACACCATAGAAGCATCAATGGATTGCCCATTAGAGAACCAACATGTGTAAGTTGTGTAAATTTTTTTGTTAATGCAAATATGTTGAAAAGAACAATTGTAATGTTGTCATTGAATGCAGGATTGATAATTTATTGAGAGTTTTAGATGGATGCTCTTTCTCTCCACCAAGTATCTATCCTGAGATTGAAGACTCGGAATTGGCATGCGCTGTACAAATGGTACCTACACCAATACCTGAAATGAGTTCTATAAAATGGAAGGATTTGTTAGTAGGTAAAGGGCAATTTTTTCCTAATGTTGATGCCTTTAGACAAGCATTGTACAAGTATAGCATCTCCCACAAGTTTTCATACAAGTTTAAGAAGAATAACAAAGAGAAGATCATTGCATATTGCAAGGTGGAAGGTTGTGAATGGAACATTGCAGTATATTCAATAGGGAAAGATAATGAGATTTTAAGGGTTATAAAATTCAACAATGATCACACCCATAATGCGCAAGACAACCTTATTGTGTCACACCCGGCAAGATCAAAATTAACATCATCAATCATGGTTGATACTCTAAGGTCTAATATAGATAAAGGTGCCAATGAACTTGCAAGAGACTTGTATAGAGAGTATGGTGTGCGATTGAGCTACAGTCAAGCCTATAGGGGAAGAGAAAAAGCATTGCGGGAAATACATGGTCGTGTAGAAGATTCTTATAGCATAATCCCTTGGATTTGTGATTGATTAATGGAAACTGATCCGATGACAGTTGCAAAATGGAATGCCTCAAATAATAGATTTGAGAGGCTATTCATTGCTTATGGATGCTCTATATCTAGTTTTTTAGGAGGTTATCGAGCCATACTTTATGTAGACGGATGTCACCTAAGCGGTCCATACAAGGGAACAATGCTGTCAGCATGTATATATGACACTAATAATGACTTATTTCCGGTAGCATATGCCATTGTTAGTGGGGAAATATTAGAAGATTGGTCTTGGTTTCTTCAAAATGTCAAAGACATAATAAGATCAGTAGAGTTAACAATTGTTTCTGATCGGAATAATGTGATTATTAGTGCCGTGCAAGCTATATTTGGTAGTGGTGAGAGACATGCATTTTGCTACCGTCATGTGAAGAAAAATTTTAGCACAGCATTTACAAAAATCAATAGAGGTAAGACGCGTACCTCGAGCAACATGAAAGATGATGTGTTGAAATTACTTGATGCAATTGCCTATGCAAGGCATGAGGCTGAATTTAATGTTGCAATGGGGAATCTAAGATTGTTTGGTCCACAATTGGCGCAATGGGTTGAAACCCAAAGGGATGTAGATCAATGGGCTCAATGCAAGTTTGGATATAAACGATGGGATAATATCACAACTAATCTTGCAGAATCCTTTAATGCTTGGATTGTGAAAGAGAGAAAACACAATGTTAATGTCTTGATTCATGAGCATAGAGAGAAATTGGCAAAGAAGATGGTCGTTAGCAAAGCGGCTATGGGAAATTGGAAACATGGTTTCGGGCCTAACGTTGAGGCAAAAGTTATGGAGCAAATTGTGAGAGCTGAAAATTTACACACACAAATTTATAGAGAAAATTTGATCTCTGTGCAAACTATATCAATTAATGGACTAATACACTTAAATGTTGATCTTGCAGCACGTACATGCTCTTGTTTAGCATGGCAAATGAGTGGAATACCTTGTGCACATGCTTGTGCAGCAATCAAGCTACTTCATGGCAATGTGTACAATTTTGTGGATGAATGTTACAAGTTTACTACTCAAGAAAAGATATATGCCACCAGCGTGAAGCCGATAGCCACGCATGACTGTCCACATCCAGAAGTATTGACGGTGACAAATTTATTAACCGAAACCTTTTTGGAGCCACCAATGACTAAAAGGCCTTCTGGTAGGCCAAGGAGTAAAAGAAGAGAATCTCAATTCCAAAACAAAAAGGTTTATCATTATGGAATATGCCATGAGATTGGTCATACCTCCAAGACTTGCAAGAATCCTAATCCATGCTAGAAAATATTACAGACAAGTGTATTTTTTTGTTTATATATATGGAAGTTGTTTTTGTTTACTTTTTGGTTTATTGTACATAATGTATTAGCACTTTTCAATAGCAAATGCATAAATTGTAAATGAATTGATACCTTATAATCAATGACTAATGGCAAGTAGTCAATAGGTTCTTGCACCTGGTTGATTTTCGCAGGGATTAACAGCACCAAGTGCGTCAACACTTATCAATGGAGAATTAACACCTTGTCAATATAGTTATATCCAATTGTTAATAGGCAATAGAAGTAGTCAACAGGTTCTTGCACCTTGTTGAATTTTAAAGGGAATAACAGCACTTACTACCTATAGTTAATAGTACTTGTCAATCTCTAAAGCTAAGTAGTCAACAGGTTCTTGCACCTTGTTGAATTTTAAAGGGAATAACAGCACTTACTACTTCTGCACTTGTCAATGTCGAATTACTACCTTGTCAATCTAGTTAAAAGTACTTATCAATCTCCAAAGCTAAGTAGTCAATCGGTTCTTACACCTTGTTGAATTTTAAAGGGAATAACAGCACTTACTACTTCAGCACTTGTTAATGTCGAATTACTACCTTGTCAATATAGTTAATAGTACTTGTCAATCTCCAAAGCTAAGTAGTCAACTGGTTCATTTAACTAGCTGATTTTTCAAGGAAACGACAGCACTTACTACCTTAGCACTTGTTAATGGCGAATTACAACCTTATCAATATAGTTATTACTACTTGTCAACGGTGAATTATTAACTTGTTAATGTACTTATAGACACTTGTCAATAAAGTAATAACAACTTGTTGACATGCAATTAATAAAACAAACTGTCTACCACATTTACAAACTTATAATAAGCTTTTATAACTAGTGGTATCTAAGTTAACTACACAAAATGAGCTAACTATACAAAGGGATATGATGATCAATAAAATTATATCCTAAGGTTCTATAAAAAATCTTTTATTTCTTTTTCCTCATCGCTTAGGATACTTCTAACAAGGACATGGCTTCAGGCTCCTTCATATTGTTACGATGACTCAGTAGCCACTACAAGAGTTCTACCTTCTTCTTATAGAGGTCATCCTGCACCACAAGTAAGTCTTACAAGGGACAACAACAAATATGTAGTACATGAAAGAGGGAAAATGTAAAGTAAAGAATGCATACGTCAGAGTATTTTGGCATCGTATACCCATTCTTATCCACAGTGTTGTCCCACGATTGTAACCATGTCATAACGTGCGCCCCACAAGTATGGCCAAAAACAAAATAAAAAACATAATGTAAAATTAATTTTTCACATGTAAATATAAGCTTAATGATGTATAAACATAAAAGGAACTCACGTATCAGTTTGCACATGAACTTTAGCCCATATAATGTCTGTGCTAACATCATCCTCAAACAATTGTGGCTTGACTACATAAAGTAGAGAGTGAAAGCAATTCCTCTGCAAACTCAAGACTTGCAATGTTAGTAATATTAATTTACAACTAATCAAGAAGACAACGACAAATATAGATGTTGGTAATATTGAGTGACAAGTATAGACATACGCATCCTCTTGCCATCATTTCTTTGGGATCTAGTTGTCCTTTCTTCTTCTCCTTTCCCTTGCCCTTCTTCTTAACATTCTCTTCTTCTTCCTCTTCCTGATGTCTTTAGAAATATTCCCTATTACTGACCAATGAATCTAACACATAGAAGTTCTTATTCTTGGTCTCAAAGACATAGCAAAACCAGTGACTATGGAAAAGAGTTGGGCCAAAAATGAAATCACAATCAGCAATGTTATATCCAACAAACTCAGGAAATATTTCTCCCTTTTTGTCATCTACCGTCCATTTCAAAGGGTTGTTGATCATTTTTAGCATGAACTCAGAACCAAAGATATGTCTCCGGACTTTCCCTTCATTTTCCTTTTGGTCACCTACCAAAGTTCAGGCAACCATTGACATCACCTTGTCACTAATCCATCTCTTTCCACAAAAACATTGTAGCTCTGCACGAGTCAAGTAGTAGCTATACAAATCTACAATGATCCTGTTGAAGAAGAAGGAAAAATTAAATAGATTGTCACTAATATTTTAGTCAGTCAATTTTTAGGCACAGTATAGGGACTTACTTGTCTCCCTCATCTTCCTCACATGGTGTTGTGCATATTTGAAATAATTGCTCCTTCTCATCCATTTTTCTCTTCTTTCCAACATTAGTTCTAACCCATGGAGATTTCACAGCAGATCTTTTATATCTTTTTGATCTTCTAGGATGTTTACTTGATTGTTCTTCTCCTCTCCCTTCCTCGTCCTCAACAGAATCTTTCCCTCCTACACCTGCCTCCTTATCCTCTTCCTCTTTTGAATCGTCATTGTTGCCCTTTTCTTTAGGAGAACCTTGCTGTTCATCATCTTTTTCTTTATCTTCTTCACCTTCTAATTTTTCTTCTTCATTCTCTTCCTCTTTTGATTGTTCAGCTCCTTCTTCATTGTATTCTTCCTTTTCTAATTTTTCTTCTTCATTCTCTTCCTCTTTTGATTGTTCAGCTCCTTCTTCATTATATTCTTCCTTTTCTAATTTTTCTTCTTCATTTTTTTCCTTTGAAGCTGTCCCCTCATCAACAAGTCCTTCCTCTTCTATTTTTTCATCCTCATTCTTTCCCTCAAAATCTATCCCTTTTATCATCATCTTCTTCCTCTTGTGATTTTTCACCTTCTTCCTCTCTTGAGCCTTGTCCAAGTAGCATTGATTATAAGCTCATTAACTCCTCTCCAATGTCAGACACAAACGACATCACTTTTCCATATAGCCTCCTTACTTCCTGCAAGACAATTACTGACTCAGTGCATAAATAAGACCATATATATCTGTCCATTGTACTCTATTTTATACATATCGGGTGAACAAATGCCTATTCTTGATACACCTTGGTAGATGAACTATCATGTACAGTAGTTGGCTCATGTAAGATGCCTCGATTGCTCTTTTTCTCCAACTTTATTCTTATATTCACTTTATCATCGTCCCAATATTTCAAAGCATCTACGGTTTTTGGACAACCTTGGCCAACTGGAAAATTCTGGAAGCCCCATACCTAAAAACTTGACAAATCAATATAAACATAAAACCTTTATATGGAAAACTTTGAAAGGCTATCACTTTGGATTAATATAAATTGAACACACACTTACCATTAGAAAGTAGATACATTCCCCAACGTTCTTCCTTGTCCTTCCCTTCCCTTTGCTCAGCTGTTTCTTGTAGTATTCTACCTCCTTGCAAAGTTCATTAAAAATAAACATACCCCAATCATACGCGCTTGGTTTCTTTTGTGTCTCATAAACGACCTTCAATATACGGTCGCTAACCTCAAGACTTGCGGTTGGTAATAGCAAGGTTCCCAATGCATACATCATAAAAAGTAACTCAAATTTAGCTACCTCCTTTCCAGATATAATCATTTCAGCTATTTCCATGTAAGGCATTTTATAGTAAGTATTTCTCAAATTCTTAAAAGCTCTATCATTCATATTGACATCCCTAGTAATCTGCTTACCCTCACTACGTAAGCCCATCAAGTCATTCACATCCTTTCCCTTCATTTGCTTGATTTTCCCCCTTATGCATGTTTCATGAGTTGGGGGGTCAAAGGCACGCATCAACTCTCCACAAATATCTCTTTGAATTTTTTTACAAGACATATCAAGAAGCCTATGGAATCCTAGCTTCTCAACCCTTTTTTTGTAATTTCTCATCTTTCTTAACATATTTTGCCACTTCACCAAATTGGTTAGGGGAGCAGCGCGTATGAAATGGTACGGTATATCTCTTCACTGTTGTCTTTGCTTTATCTTTCTTCTTCCTTTATCTGGAAAACAAATAGAAAAGTTCAATTACATGTGTTGAAAAGAGATATATGCATACTAGTCATTACTAAGTTCCAACTCACAGATTTCTGCACTAGCATTGTCTATTAGTAAGAAAAAAACACAAGTCACAGAGGCATGACGGTTCACTAGTTATGACAGTTTACTAGTCAATGGAGCATACTGTTGTTGTCAATGGAGTTTATGGTTGTAGTCATTGAAGTAATTAGTTGTCATTCATGGAATAAATGATTTTGGTTAATACAGCATATGGTTGTTGTCAACAAAGAAAGCAATTGTCGTTAATGGAGAAATTTATCCATATTTAAAATTATATATTTTTAGGCAGAATTGAAAGTTAAACTTACCACAGTAAAAATATAAAACGCAAGAGGAGTAGTTGAAAGTTGAAACATGCAAATACGCACCTTAAGTAATTACAAAAATCTCATGCATAGCTACACTTTTGCAACATATCAGAAATATACTTGGTAAGCTTGACTTGATAAGCATTAGAGAACTGTGTGACCAGGTTTTGTCTCTTTCAAAGTACAGAGCACAACTATATGATTATCTTAAGAGCAGGATGAATACTATTGCACCCAATTTGACTGCTCTTGTTGGGAAGCTTGTTGGTGCTCGCCTTATTGCCCATGGTGGTAGCTTCCTTAATCTTGCAAAGCTGCCAGGGAGTACTGTACAGATACTTGGTGCTGAAAAGGCTCTCCTTAGGGCTCTAAAGACTAAGCATGCTACCCCAAAATATGAGCTTATTTATTATGCATCATTAATTGGTCAGGCTGCTCAAAACTTTAAGGGTAAAATTTCTCGGTCACTTGCTGCAAAGACAGCATTGGCGATTATAGAAGATGCTCTTGGACATTGTCAACATAATTCAATGGGATTGGAAAACAAAGCCAAGGTGCTTGTGCTATTCTCTAGTTAGTTCTCCTACTTTTGTTGTCACTTGCTACCATTTCTTATATATACTTTCACACAGCTTGAAGCACGCCTAAGGAGTCTTAAAGGCAACGAACTAGGTAGACTTGCTGGTTTAACTAAAGGAAAGCCAAAGATAGAAAGCTATGATAAAGATTGGAAGAAGGGAGTTGGAGGCTTCCTTCATTTGCTATGTTTGAAAGGATGCACCACAATTTTTTTTTTGTGTTGGAGTTTTCTATTTTGTGTAGACTTGATTCTACTCTTGGTCAAGCTCCTCACGGTGCGTTTGTGGATGAGGAAATGCAAGAACTTCCTGTTGCTGAAGAAAAGAAAGAAAAGAAGAAAAAGAAGAAAGAGAGAAGTGGGGACGACGATGCTGCTCTACAAGCTGATGTTGGCAAGGACTCAGATCAGGTAGAAACTGTAAAGAAGGAGAAGAAGAAGAAACGTAGGGATTCTGCTGAGGATGGCCAGGTGCAGGCTGAGGAGGATTACAAAGACGGTGAATTACAGTGAGAAGAAAACCGACATACGAGCAAAAAAACAGAGACGGAGAATTACAGTTATGTGTGAAAACGGAGATGCAAAAAATTAAAGTCACAATCGAGATACCAGCTAAAAAAAGAAAAGAACAAAGAAAGGAATAATGGGAGAAGAAAACACATAATGAATGGCAGTTGAACCTATGGTGGCGAGACGGCGGCAGAGGATGGCAGAGACAGTCTGATGATGGCGATTAGGGCAAATATGAGTCGCTGAAGCAGGAGCGAGCAACTCTCGTTCTTTACTCCTTTGAGTTTTTCACTCTCTAGAGCACGACAGAATGAGGAAGACACAGTCGTTTTCAATTTCATGGGTTAGTGGGAAGCAGACTGATTTTTCATATTTCAAATAGAGGGCAAATGGGTAATTTCACTTTCAGACTTATTCACCCTTAGGTCCCTAGGGACCTGGCAGCTATTTCTTAAATTCATGGGACCTCAGCGTATTTAAAGTGCTTCCATAGGACTTTAGACTGATTCTCCCTTTTTTTTATCCATATTATTTGATAAGGATATGTTTTTAAAAAAGATTGTGTTAAACAAAAACAAAGAGGGGGATGTAACAAGGCGTGTCAGAGATGCGAATCTCAAAAGGATGAAAGAACCTAATTTCTAATCAAACATGAGGAACTCGAGCTTTCTTATTATAGTTTACTCGGATGTGAGAATGCGAAGTGAAGAAAATTAATGTAAATGCAGAAAAGTAGATATACATTAGATAAAGAAAGAGGTGGCGGGCTATGCTGATCATATAGTAAAAAATAAAGAGTAAAATTACATGATAAAAGAAAAAATAAAATAAAGTAACAGACGTGAAATTTGAGAATTTGACTGGTAATTTGTTGATGCTGATGATAATTATTGTTAAGAGTCCTATATTTATAAATAATTCTGGCTTGGTGTTTAAGCCTCATAATTGCCATTTTCCTTAAATTTAGGAAGTATTTTCTCCATCGTGGTCACTCATCATGTGTAGAGTGTGAATGATCTTAATTTAATAGCTAAGGCTTCATGAATTTTTCTTTTATAATTATTTTAAAGCTAATTTAGTTGAGTTGAGTCTGGGCTTTCAAATTTACTATTTAGGTCCAAATAGTTTGAAAAATAAGGACCAAGTTATAAGTAAGATAAAAGTTGAGAGATTGAATTACAACGAGTCATAGTTAAGAGATTGAGTTGCAGTAAGTCATAATTAAAAAATTAGGATACAAATGAGTTAAAAATTAAAGAACTAAAGAATCAAGAGTGTGTTTGTTTTCTGTTTTTAAAAACTGAAAAATTTTAAAACTTGTTTAAATTAGTGTTTTTGATTTAATTATTTTTAAAATTATTTTCATTTTTCGTTTTTAAAAAGAAAAAAAATAGAAACAAGTTCAAGTTACTTTTTTTATTTTTTATGTTTTCAAAATACATTATATTTAATTATTATAAATTACAATCACCCTAACTAATTTCTATACAAAATTATTATTATTAACTGCCTATAATTATTATTATTAATTTATTTTTAATATTAATTTTTTTTAAATTAACACAACCAAACAAATTTTAATTTTATTTTATTTTAAAAAATAATTTTAAAAATTATATTTTAAAATAATTTTTAAAAATAAAAAATGAAAATAAAAACCAAGCACGCCCTCATTTTCTCTTCATTTTTTGAGTCCCGGCCATGCGCGTGCCCGGAATCAAACTCACCACAAAAACATAGCGTAACATGTTTTAACTGGCTAGCATCTATACGACGTCGTTAATCCTGCAGTGGGGGCCCAGAAAACGCAAGTGGAAACTGTGGAGTGGAGAGTAAAAATTGAAGGCGTTCTGCAGGGCAGAGCGAAAACAATTTTCGACCAGTTCATTGCTCTTCCTCTTCATATCGTGCACGGCTGGTCTGAGTTTGATCAATTCGTCTACTCAAGAGCAAAATGTGGATATTTCTACGCTCGAACCGCAATCTTCTCACAAGGCGCCACTGTTGTTCTCGAAGAGCAGTTTACTATAGCACTGCGCAAACCCAACACTCAGTGCGGGAAATCAGCAACATTCTCAGCCTCGACAATTGGCACCTTCACATGGATTCCCCAAGCATCCTCTCCAAGCTAAATCCGGATGTAATCCGATCTGTCGTACACCAAAATCGCATGGGTGACCCACGGCGTCTTCTCAGCTTCTTCCATTGGTCCGAACAAAAAATGGGTATGCTTCGAGATTTAGATACCTTATGTATTCTTGTTGTTTCTCTCTGTGATTCGAAGTTGTATGGCCCTGCTTCTGACATCATTGGCCGTATGGCGCGAGATTTCAAGCCTCCATTCGATATTTTGGGTTCTATTTATAGTTATTATAGCGAGGCGAGTAATCAGAGGTCTGATTCAGTGGTTTTTGAAATGTTAATTGATAGTTACAGGAAATTGGGTTTGGTGGATGAAGCTTCTCGTGTGTTTTTGGAGTCCCAGAGGATGAATTTTGTGCCTCGTTTATTGACTGCCAATTCATTATTGAGTGACTTGTTAAAGGTGCGTCAATTAGACTTGTTTTGGAAGGTTTGTGAAAAAATGTCTGCGATGAATATGTCATTTGATGCTTATACTTACACATCTATAATTAACGCACACTTCAAGTCTGGTAACACTTATGAGGTGACAAGGGTCCTCAATGAAATGGTAGATAAAGGTTGCCGACCAACTAAAGTGACTTATAATGTGATTATTGATGGTTTGTGTAAAGCGGGGTTACTTGGTGAAGCAATGAACATGAAAAATTATATGGTTGAGAATCACTTGGCCCCAGATAAATTCACTTATTCGGCTCTAATTAATGGCTGTTGCATGACAAAGCACCTCAGTGAAGCAAAATTAATTTTATCGGAAATGTCTAATGTGGGGTTGAAGCCTGATTTGCTTAGCTATAATACTATCATTGATGCTTTTATGAAGCAAGGTAATGTGGAAGAGGCTTTTAAAATGAAGGATGAAATGTTCAAAAATGGTTTCATTGTAAATTCGGTCATATATAGCACGCTTCTTAATGGCTTGTCTAAGGCTGGCAGAATGGACAGGGCTGGAGAAATTCTAGATGAGATAAAAACTTTAGGAATTAAGCTGAACTCTAGAATTTACACAACTTTGATTGAGGGATACTGTAGGAAGGGCGATATGGATACTGCCTTTAAGTTATTTGATGAGATGAAGAAGCAAAGCTTGACACCCACTGAGATAACTTATAGTGTTATTATTAATGGGCTCTGCAGACGTGGTAAACTCCCTAAGGCTGATGATTTCTTGGAGGAAATGATTGGAAGTGGTTTAAAACCAAATGTTGTTACCTTCACTGCTCTTCTTTCAGCTAATGCCAAGGAAGGTAGAGTTAAAAAGATGAGAAAAATATTGGAGAGCATGAGAGAACAGGGGATCATGTTAGATGTATTTTGCTATAATTCTATTATTGTCGGGCTATGTAGGGCCCAGAAGATAGAAGAAGCAAAGGCTTATTTTCATGAAATGTTAAAATTTCAATTAAAGCCTAATACGTATACATATGGAGCTTTTATCCAAGCATATAGTAAGTCAGGAAACATGCAGATGGCTGACTTGATTTTTAATGACATGATAGAGAATGGTGTCATGCCAGATGATGTAATTTATACACTCTTAATTGATGGCCACTGCAAAACTGGGAACATAACTGAAGCCTTCACCATATTTAGGAGCATGCTTGCCAGAGGTGTTTACCCAGATGTTAAAGCATACAGTGTGCTCATTAATGGTCTTTCAAGGAATGGAAAAATGCAAGAAGCAATGACCCTCTTTTCAGAGTTAAATAGCAAAGGGTTGGCGCCAGATGTTTTTACTTATGGTTCTATCATTAATGGCTTCTGTAAACAAGGTGAAATGGAGAAAGCTTTTCAGCTTCTTGAAGAAATGAATGAAAAAGGCATAGAACCTGAAATTGTTATTTATAATATCTTAATTGATGGGCTATGTAAGGCTGGTGAGCTTGAAAGGGCTAAGAACTTATTTAATGTCCTACTGGAATCTGGTTTGGTTCCAAATAAAGTGACATATGCCACAATTATAAATGGATACTGCAAATCTGGAAATTTGGATGAGGCTTTACTGTTGGTGAATGTTATGACTCAGAAAGGTATCCAACCTGATAGCTTTATCTACAATACCCTTCTCAGTGAATGCTGCAGAAATGGTCAATTAGAAGTGGCTCAAAATCTACTTGAAGAAATGTTGCACAGGGGCATGGCCTCTACTGTCTCTTATAACATATTACTTGATGGTTTCTGCAAAAATAACAGGCTGCAAGAAGCCTATCATTCTTGGGAAGAGATGTCGGAAAAGAAGATTTTACGTAATCATGTCACATACACAATTCTGATTGATCACCATTGTAAGGCTCAAAACATGGAGAAAGCTAAGCAGCTCTTCATTGAGATGCAGGCGAGAGATCTGAAACCAACTGTTGTAACATACACATCATTAATGCATGGTCACAGCTTGGTAGGAAATAGATATGAAATTCGTGCTCTGTTTGAAGAGATGGTGGCCATGGGGATTGAGCCAGACATGGCTACCTATAGATTGATGATTGATGTTCACTTGAAAGAAGGGAAGAATGAAGAAGCCTCATGTTTGAAGGATGAGATGCTGAAGAAGGGGATGCCTGTGAGTACAGATATGAATAGTTGTCTTAGTAGCGTTATGGGAAATTGAAAAACAATGGGGTTGTCAATTTGCATAATGAGGCGAATCATCTGGGCTTTGCATTGTATATAGGGAGCTAGAGACAGTCATGGGTTTCAAAGTCTAGAAGTTTAAGTTATTTATTGGGGATGAGAATGATATGATATGGAGGATATAACAGACTTTCAACTACCTGAGGGAAATGACTTGGGTACTAATTAATATCTGTGCCAACAGCATTATGATTTTTTTGCTCGTTTACTGCTATGAATCCATCCTGTTGGCTGCACATAGACCTGGAAGAGCCAAGGAAAGATGAGAATTATCTATACTCTATAGCTGATGACATTTTTTTTGTGGTAAATTTTGCAGAGCTATGCTTGGAGAACTGCAGGTATATATATTTGTATATTTCAGTAAATCCATACGAGTAGCCCATTTATGTTTATTTCTTGACCAAGTTTATATAACACCATCAAGTGTGTTGTAAGTTTTGTGCTCATTGAGAGGTTCAATCACTGATTAGCAGTATTGGTTGATGTGTTTGGCATTTACTTTCTCTCTGCTTGACACCTTTAGGGTTGTTTAAAACAAAAGTAGAGTAGAAAGCGTAGGTACTGGCTGCCAGGACTGTTTGAGGATGAGAAGTTGACTAATAGCTAACTTCACTTGAAAGGAATAGATCTTGCTGGACTTATGGTTAGCATGACCAATATCTCATCTTATATGCATTTAGTTGCTGCATTTAAGAATCTTCTCTTGCTGCAGTCAAATACATCCCCCTTGGTCTCTTTTACACATGCTTTTAGGACAGTGAGGCCCATTTATGTGTTGATTGAATTTAAGTCATGTTGATCATCAGCGGAGTCTAATGAGTATGATTTAAATGATATTTTGTACTTCGTATCCCTCTTCAACTAGATTTTTGATGGATCCAATCATTATGACAGAAAGAAACTTTTACAGTGAGCCCTAGGAACCCACGGAGCTCTTTTACAGATTTGGTTGCAGGCCATTGCACTACTACAGTTATTTTCTCAGAATCCACTTCAACCCCTTGGGCAGAAACCATGTGGCCCAAGTAGCTAATTTGAGTTTGGCCTAACGAGCATTTTTTTGCATTGGCAAAGAAGGATTGCTTCTGTAGAATCTGAAATACTGTGGTCAGATGTTATAAATGCTGTTGGGGGGAAGCACTGTACACTAAGATGTCATCAAAAAATACCAACACGAATTTCCGTAAATAAGGCCTGAATAAGTCATTCTAATAGATTGGAAGGTAGCTGGTGCGTTAGTTAAACCAAATGGCATAACAAAAAATTCATGGTGGCCTGAGTGAGTGCGAAAAGCTGTTTTGTGTACATCCTCCGGTAGAACTTGGATTTGATGATATCCGGATCGTAAATCAATTTTTGAGAAGTAGACAGCCCCATGCAATTCATCTAAGAGTTCATCAATATTGGGAATAGGGTACTTATCTAGTATGGTGATTTGATTAAGACGCCTGTAGTCAACACAGAGGCGCCACGAACCATCCTTTTTACCAACGAGTAGCACAGGACTGGTAAAAGGACTGGTGCTAGGTCGTATGAAACCACTTTGTAGCAAGCTTTCAATTTGAGCTTCAATTTCATCCTTCTGGTAATGAGGGTAACAATATGGCCGTAGATTAGGAGGTGTAGCATTTGGGAATAGCTTGATGGCATGATAATGATCTCGGGGTGGAGGCAGGCACCCTGGCTCAGAAAAGACATCAGCAAAATCATGAAAAATTCTGTCAATATTCAAGTATCCTGATGTGTTCTTCTCATTTGATTCCTGAGTAAGAAGCATGCTATGGAGATGGACCGAAACATCACTGTTAGTAGGTAGGCCTTGCAGCTTATATTTCTTCCCATTTAGCCAAAAAATCATAAACATTTTGTTCCAATTAGCTTGCACAGTGTTCAGTGACGCCAACCATTTAATACCTAGTACCAAATCAGAACCACCCAAGGAGAACGGGTAGAAATCTTGCTGAATAGTTAAATCAGAAATTGTTACCTCAACCTTTGGGCAAACTTGATGGCATTTCACTCTACTACCATTACCAATTTGAACTCCAAAAGTAGGAACCGTCCGCACGGGGAGCTGCAATTCGGATACCACTGCGTCTGAGATGAAATTGTGCGTGGAGCCGCTATCAACTAAAATTAGGACAGTGCGACCCTTGAGCGTGCCTTGAAGTTTCATTGTGGCTGCCGAATGCTGTCCTAGAATCGCATTGAATGAGATTTCGGCCCCCTCTGGTTCCATTTCTGTCTCGGCTCCTTCGTGTAGGGGAGTTAGAATTTCTTCACCTTTTTCAGAAATTTCCAGCAAAGAAAAAGAAGCATTGCAGCGATGCCCAGGTCGGAAAACAGCCCCACACCGGAAGCACAGACCCTTATCTCGCCGGTTTTGACGTTCCGCATCTTCGGGAGAGATTCTCGCGGCTGTTGAGGAGTTTTTAGGAGTGATCGAGGCCGAAGGAGCTGGTCGGGAGGGATACGCAGACGAAGCCAGTGAGAGGGAGTCTTTGGAATTGCGGAAATCACGTGCAAATTGGGACTGATTTGGGCGATTTTGGGAGTATGAAGAATTGGGCCTGGGCCCACATGAATTTTGAGCTTTTTTCTCAAATTCCAGGGCCAAACTTGCAGCTTTAAACACTGTTCTAGGTTTTTGAATGCGTACATCAGCTTTTAATTCTTCCTTGAGGCCACCCAGAAAAATACCTAAGAGGCAGTGCTCTGGCCAGTTGCGAACTCGTGCTACCTGCCTAGCAAATTCTTGACGATATTCTTGTACCGATCCAGTTTGCTTGATGGTCGCAAGGTGCTCGTCCGGATTTTGATATTCAGGAGGCCCATAGTGCTCTTGTAATGTCTTGACCAACTCATCCCAGTACAACAAGGTATGTTCTGAATTTACCCATGAGAATAAATCCAAAGCATCTCCTTCTAGACTCATTGAAGCAACATCAACTTTTGAATCTTCCGGTGTTTGATAATACCGAAAAAATTTTTCAGCCTTCAAAATCCATCCTCAGGGATCTCCTCCGCTAAATTTTGGAAATTTAATTTTTGTATAGGGTGGACGTGGCCCCCTTCGGTCATGATCATCTTCACTATCATCTTCCCAGTGTGAGCGCCTGTAGTGACTCTCCATGGTTCGCTTGCCTCTACTTGTTGCAGAAGCCTCAAGGGCCTCTATCTTCTCTTTCAACAAATCAAGTGTCTCTAATTTGGAGACGATTGCTGATAATGGATCTCCTAAAAATGGATTGACTACAGATTCATTGCGTGGGGGGTTATTGGAGGAAGTGGCGTTGGGATCGATGGTTTTGTTACCGGAGCGTGTGGTCACCATGTTGATCGAACCAGGCTCAGATACCAAATTGTTAAGAACTAAAGAAAGCAAATAAATCTATTAAATAAATTAGAGCAAGAATCTCACTTTAAAAATATTTAATAGCCAAAGTAGGAGAATCTCTAGGAGAAATCGTATTTTATTTTCTCAATGTCTAGCTATGATAGAAGCTAGTCCATTTATAATGCAGAAATAACAGCAAAATAATAAATAAATAATAAGAAAATATCCTAACATATCTGGGATAATAATTGACTCAAACAGAAATTGACTCAACAAACTAAACATGATCAAAAGTTGATCCACTTATTTAGCCAACTACTGAAAATGAATTAATTAAATAAAAAGCAACTTAATTCTGCTCTAACTTCCTCCCCTTTCTTCTCTGATATGTCAATAGTGGATATTGATGTTGACGCAGCATGCTATTAACTTGTCGCCATAATGTGTGACACTGAAGATACCCATAATTTTATCACTCGGAAGAGGCCAAGCGAATAGGTCTCAAGGTGGGGCAGGAGGGAGGAAGTCTAAAGGCAGTTAACTCACCTCCTAAGTAACTATGTGGCATAGCACGAGAGGTTGAGCTATGTTTGGGAAGCTGGAATGGTAAGATGGACTTCTCCGTCGCTCCTATGGATGACTTCAAGGTTGTGTTGGGATTAAAGTTCTTCAGGCAAGTAAATGCTTACCCCATGCCTTATTATAATTTACTTTGCATATTGGAGAGGGAAAACTCTTGCTTTGTGCCCACAAGAAAGGTGAGTAGCGGACACCAACTCTCGGCCTTGCAAGTCAAGAAGGGATTAAAGAAGGGAGAGGCTACATACTTGGCAACACTGAAGGAGGTTGACCTTGGGGACAAGGTTAAGGAAGAGGTCCCTCCCATAATTGCTCGTGTTTTGGTGGAGAACCAAGACATTATGTCTGCTGCCCAAGAAGCTTCCACCATGCAGAGAGGTGGATCATGAGATTGAGTTAGAATCGGGAACTTGGCCACCGGCCATGGCGCCATATCGTATGGCACCACTAGAGTTGGAAGAATTGAGGAAGCAGTTAAAGGAGTTAATCAATGCAGGCTTCATCCGACCACCAAAAGCACCTTTTGGAGCACTGGTCTTATTCCAAAAGAAGTAGGATGGGTCTTTACGCCTATGCATCGACTACCGGGCTCTTAACAAGTTAACTATTAAAAATAAATATCCTATTCCTTTGATAACTGACTTGTTTTATCGCCTGGGAAAGGCAAAGTACTTTTCCAAATTGGATCTAAGGTTCGAATTGCCGAGGGAGATGAACCCAAGACCACTTGTGTGAAATGATATGGGTCTTTTGAATGGTTTGTCATGCCTTTTGGACTAACCAATACATCAACCACATTCTGCACTTTAATGAATAAGATCTTTCATCATTATCTTGATCGGTTCGTGGTGGTGTACTTAGATGACATTGTCATCTATAGCGACACACTGGAGGAATGTGCTAAACACCTCCAGATTGTGTTCAAGACCCTTTGTGAAAATGAGCTTTATGTGAAGAAGGAAAAGTGCTTCTTTGCTATGGGGGAAGTCTCCTTGGGACATGTTATCTCACATGGTTGCCTCAAGATGGATGAGAAAAAGGTACAAGTTATAAAGGAATGGGGGCCTCCAACATGTGTGGCTGAGCTATGGTCCTTCTTGGGATTGGTAAACTATTATTGATGATTCATCCAAGGCTACTCGGCAAGAGCTACCCCTCTTATAGAGTTGTTGAAGAAGAACAAGTGTTGGGCTTGGACAGAGGAGTGCCAATAAGCTTTTGAGGACTTGAAGGCGGTTGTCATGGAAGAACCAGTGTTGACACTTCTGACTTCTCCAAACCCTTTGAGGTACATATTGATGCCTCTGACTTTACTATAAGAGGTGTCTTAATGCAAGAGAGGCATCCTATTGCCTTTGAAAGTCGCAAGCTAAATGATACCGAGAAGCGGTACACGGTCCAGGAAAAAGAGATGACGGCTGT